GCAGCAGATGCTCTCTCTTAGTGAAGATCCCTAGGTTATGGCTCTATCAGTTCCCATGTTGGTGGATTTGAAGGTGTTGAAGCAAGAGAGATAGCAGGATGAAAAACCACAAAAAATCAAAGGAAATTTACTGTAAAATAAGGATAGACATCCTGGTTATTCCTTGGTGGGCAAGAAGTTCCTATGCCAGGGACGGTTTGTGCTTTCAAGGACATCACCACATATCCCTTGTTGCAGGAGTTTCATGACATAGCTATTGGGAATATTTGGGAATCGAAAAGAAATCATGGACTGGAAACATAGTTGTACTGGGAGGCATAAAGAAGGATGCGGAGAAGATGGTAGTCAGTTGTGTAATATGCCAGAGACACAAATACTAAGCTATGACTCCAAGTGGTCTTTTATAGCCTTTTACCTGAGGTGTTGATGCGAGCAAAAATCTACGGGGGATGGGAGCACCCGAGGACCTCCGCCCACAGAAACGACGGGCACACGATACTACAAGATCGTCAAAAGAGACGAACAAACTTTTACATTTCAAATTAAACTAAGACTTAGAAATTTAAGAACAAAATTACAACAACAAATTGAAATTAAACGACTTTCAAACTCAAATCGAAATTAAAGACACCCTAAACTTGCTTCACTTAGAGAAAAATGATACAGATGGAGTGGCACTTGCGAAGAGACGAAAGAGGTTAGAAGCCAAGATGAAGGTTGGAAAGAGCTCGCAAGATTTCCGGAGGAAATGAGAAAGAAGGTGGACAAAGCTCGCAAGCTTTTCCAAGCAAACCCGCAGGTTATAGCTTTTCCAAAAATAACATATCATTCACTTCTTAAAACAATACATAACCCCTCATATTTATAGGTATGAAAGGGGAATACCAAAAGACAAAACAAAACCAGCAGCCGGCCAGAAATCCAAGGAGCCATGGCACAGAAAAGAGCAGCCCACAGTGGAAGCCAAGGAGCCAAAGCATAGGAAAATAAAACAACTTTCTTGGGATTCCAAAAGCCCTTTTGGAAAACCAAGAGACAACTTAAATGAAGACATTAAAAACTATAATAAAAGTACATTAATTAAAAGATAACTATGAACTAAAATGTTAGCTAATAATAAGCTAACCCTTAGTTCAATAAGTGAACTAAAGACCAACTCGTAAATGAGCTAAAATTTCAGCTCAATTTGATTGAGCTTGTAAACTCAAGGAAAGCCAAAATTGATTTATTTTGGACATGAGTTGACTCCCCCTTTGTCTACATCAGGTGTGGGAAGAGCTAAGTATGGACTTCATTGAGGGACAACCTAAGTCAAATGTATTCACAGTAATTCTGGTGGAGGTTTGAAAGATTGAGCAAATACGCTCATATCATTTCTCCTATGTCATCCATACACCGCGGTGTCAGTGGCAACCGCTTTCATTAGAAAGGTGGTCCTTTTGCATAGCATAACTGAGTCTATAGTGTCAGATCAGGATTAAATCTTTTTTAAGCCATTTCTGTAGGGAGCCAATTCTATATTTCCTGAACTTCACCATATTTGATTTATCTAATCAACATTCCACCAGACACTTATTATCCTTAAACAAGAAGAAAATTCTCAACTTATGAATCGATGTGAATCTCAAGGTTTATTGATATCAAAAGAAAAGGATAAGGTTAAAAAAAAAGGATAAGGTTTGTGTTGCATCAATTTTTGGTCTTATGACTAGATTTTTACAACTAAATATCTTCCTCCTATCTATCTTATTTATTGCAAAAACCTACAAAGAATGGTGTTCTGAGGCATGGAATAAAATTATCGCTTGAATTAAATTTAATTTTGTGGATATGAAAGTTTTCTTTTCTCAATTAAAACTTCATTCCTTAATCAAATGCAAGACTTGAAGCACTCCAGGAAAGATAGTATTTTGTTCAAAAGAGAGGCTTCTCATGTATTCTATTTATTAACTTCCGCTTCTCTTCTTTCCTTTAAACAGCGAATGCATGACAGTGGGATTAGAGTAATTTTAGATTTGTTGCACATTTGGCTTCATTTACATGCAAAATATTGTAATGTGATTTTTGTGACTCATCATTATTATGGTTTGAATTCATTAGAACAAATTTCTAAGCTAGAAAGTAATTTTTTTAATTATATTCATCACCTTTAGCAGTAATTAAATGTTTGCATTAGTTACACTACATTGTTTACAACTCATGAAAAAAATCGTCCATAAAATAAGCATAACATATATTTCTATATAATCAAGAACTACTTTGCATGATATATTTGCATTACAAGTTCCAGACCATAGAAATTTACATATCAGAGCTTGATACAACAACAAGATCAAGCCTTTGTCCCACTACGTGGGTCGGCTACATGAATCCTTTTTCGTCATTGTGTCCTGTTAAAAGTCAAATTCTCATTTAATTCTAATTTAAATCTAATAAAGAAAGAATATCACTGCCGTTATCAAGTCCAAAGTCCTGGAAGAGGAAAGTGGAGGGTTGCATAGGTAGTCGACAACCAACATAAAACTTATCGAATAATCATGAAATTAATCCTTTAAATATCAGAGCTTAATGTTGTGTTAAAATATAAACTAAACTAGGGCCTTAGGAGCTTATATTGGTATCCAAATGTCAACAAAAAGTAAAGACCAACATCAGAGTTATTTATTAAAAAGAGTAAACTTCAAAATAACTCCCTAATTTTCTTATATGGATAATTTAGCCTGAGAGAGTCATGTTTCTCCAATTTAATCCCTAGACTAAACAAAATTGATCCAAAACAGTTCCTTTGGGACTAATTTGATCAATTTTATGTTACAATTGAAACATAAGTGATCATTTGATTCAGTTTTGTATAGTCGAGGTGCTAAGTTAGAGAAACGTGATATTCTAAGACTAGATTAGCCACACACAAAAATACTTTGGGGCCTATTTTACGTTTTTTTTTTTCATTTAAAACACAAAAAAGGGATCAAATTTTGAAAACTCAAAAAAACAATTAAATGAATTTTTACATAAATAAAATAAAATGATTAAAGTTATCATTCTAAGCAAAGAAAGAAATCAAAAATCTATTATTCTTAATCTCATGAACAAGAAGCTTATTTTAGTCCTTTTAATAATCATGTATATTTGAGGGTTAGCAGAAGAAAATAAATTCATGAAGGCGGAAATAATCAAAATAGAACTTGTAGGATCTATGAATAATGAATAAAACCTATGACAATGATAAACGTCAAATGTATGATTTAATTGATGATAAAATTAAGAAATAAAACTTGAAGTAATTACATTTGATGGGAGATATCCAATGAATTTGTCCAAACGGGCTATGGATATGTATGATTTTTTAATAGAGTAAAATGAACATAAAGTAGGATTAGCAATGACAAAATTAATTGGGCAAGCTAAAATACATGGTTGAGTGAAATGAAAGGATTACATAGAAAAAAAATACTATCTATTATCATAATATAATCAATTTCTTGATGAATTTAATGCATTAAAAAAAGGATTAAAATTGTTATGGAATACACGAAAATTTTTGAGAAACTACTGAAGCATTCTTAAACAGTGGATAATCCTAAAAAATCACTTCCTACGGTTAGATCTAGATCAAAAGCCTTTTCATCATCATCATCATCATCATCATCATCAAGCCTTTATCCCACTACGTGGGGTCGGCTACATGAATTCTTTTTCTCCATTGTGTCCTATTAAAAGTCAAATTCTCATTTAAATCTAATAAAGAAAGGTCATTCCTAATATTTTCTAACCAAGTCTTTTTAGGTCTACCCCTACCTTTCTTAACATAAGTAAAATCTAATACCTCTACTCTCCAGATCAAAAGCCTTTTATTAAAATTAAAATGACAACCACATATGATACCATCAATTAAGCATGTTTTTCAAATTTAATTAGATTTTAAGCAAACAATAAAATTTAAGGCTAGTTAGAGCTTCTAAAAATAATCAAAAAATTGTTTATCATCAAAATAGTCAAACTCAACAAAATATTATTAATAAATTAAACTTAACCATTGCTACAAAGGAAAGTAAAGTACATTGCCCCTACACAAACGTCATCAGACTAGTCAGCACGTAAAGGAATGTTAAGTAAGACTTTACATATTAACGTGAAAAGAAAAAAAAAAAAGTTAAGTTTAATGAAGGAAATGGTATACATGAATTTGATGAAGAAATAAATGATTATATAAATGCTTTAATGAAACATTTATTTAAAAGTTATAAGAAGTAATACTGTTTCACTTAAAAGGGTTTAGGATTTAAAATTTAGGGATGCTAAAGTTGTTGTAAATAAGAGAGTAAATAATAAGTTATCATAAAAAAACAACTTTATATTCCTAGATATTTGTTCATCATATTATAAAAATATTAAAGAAAGGCTTACAAACATACATTTGTTTAAATTGACAGATTTTGATAAAGCGCTCAAAATAGCTTTCTTTCTTTTAAGTATGGATATGGGAGGAGTTTTAAGTAAAGAAGGGCGTCTTATTAGATAATCTAGCAAGAAATTGAACGAAACTAAGCAAAGGTATTCTTTTTAAGATGGACAACTTTATGAAGCAAAAAACAAAACACTTTGATCTTCGATTATATTATTTACTACGTAAAGAATTTGTTTTTTATTTTGACCATCAGGCACTTAAATATATAAATTCAACAAAGAATTTGGGACAAACACAAAAATGGGTTGATATTATGAGAATAATACTTTTGTTTTGAGACATTATACTGAGATTAAAATTATGAATGTTGATGCATCAAGTAGATTAGTCATTTCACATGTGCGATTAAGATCAAAGTTGCAGGAGAGACAAGTAACAATAAGAGGAAATACCAAAATAAGATGGGTGCAAAAGACTTATCCAACAAAATGCCACATATGGATTTAGCTACTGTAGCTTTTGTACCCAACAACTAGAAAACAAAATCATTCAAAGATGCATTATATAATATTTATGCTTCAAATATTCTTACTTTTGCATGTTCCAAATGCCTCACTGCCTCCTCCTGAGAAGAAGAATTCATGAATAGTTGAATACAACAAAGGCCAGCAGCAACGTTGTCCCTTCCAAGAACCTAAAGATCCAACCATGGTTAAGAATAAAAGAAGAAAGACAAAATTAAAGCATATTTTAAATTTAATAATTTAACATCAAACATATTTTAAAGCAAGAAACGTCAACAGAAGATTATGATGTAGGGAGGGGGGG